ACTCAATTTTTCCTCTTAATTACTTATTAATAATTCTTAATCAAAAATTATAAGCTAATCACAGGTCGGGGTTGTTACAATAATGTCCCTCTGACGAGTGCATCAGGGATTGGTAGTGGTAACATGTTACGTACCGACTCATTAGGAATGCAAGTTCTACACCAAGCACCTTGCAAACACATTAGTTTGTGAGCGGAAAGACAGGCAAGGTAGATCCCTATCGCATCTCTTGGGTTGGTTTTTAGGTATAATTCACGGGGGTATGCAGTACCACTCGTGGAGCTGGCTTCTCGGGAAGATGACAAGCACCCAGTCCGTAACACTTAGCTTTAGCTAGTGATATGCATGGTATGAGTTATCCCCGCCTAATAAAGTTGTAGTCTTGGCTTTGGCCGCCTTAATACCATAAAAAAGAAAAAGAAAATATGATAAAATAGAACAGAGTGTAATTTACCCTTATTATTCTAGCTAAATTATATTGGTAGTCCTTGTAATTTTAATTGATTCTGTTTTGACCTTTAATTTATGACTTTATCTCAATTTAGTCTGATTAATTATAACTGTTGAGCCAATTGAAAGTACAAAGATCAAATGACACAAATGAAAAGATGTAAGACTATCTGTGTAATTTGTCATATTAGCTTTTTGGATAAATTATAAATATATCCTTTGAGGTTTGTTTGAAATATGGATTGTTCCCGTAGTTTGAAAAATTACAAATATCCCGTTGTTGAAATTTTTTATTTAACAGAATTAACCAAAAATAAATAAAATTTCTAACTGCTCTCCTATACAGTAATAAAATTATTTGAATTATTAATTAAAATATATTTCTGACATCATTAAAAATTATAGGTAAATTACACTCACCTCCCCTGAGGTTTCTGACTAACACAGGGACCTCTCTTGTAGTTTCAATAATTGCAGTAACCTCCTCTACTTCACCTGACATTGTTCAGATTCCCCTAATCCGTCAATTATACACAAAAAACGTTACTTTTGTATACAAAATGACCATATTACCCTTTTAGAGAGAGAGAGAAGCTCTTTTCCGCCGGTGCTACTCTTTTCCGCCATCTGTCTTTTTTCTTCCTTCGCCACCATCTTTTGTTCTCCTTCTATTCTTCTTTCTCCACTCCTTCCCTTCCGCCGTTCGCCGTCCACTTTTCCTCTCATCCTCCTCTTCTTCTTCATCTTTTTCCGAAACCCTAGCCTTAGATCTATAGTTTTGAGAGCGGCGGTGGATGGTAATGGCAAAAGACCATTAATGATTTCATAGAAGCAGAGAGGTAGTGCGACAGCAGCGGTGGAGGCAGAGAAGGGTAGGACGACAACAAGGAAACTGAATGTGAGTTGGGTTCCTCAATTGCAAGTATTTCCAAACACCAATCCTCTCTCTCTCTCTATCTCTATATATATATATATATATATTTTTTTTTTTTGTGCTAATTTAGTGTAAGAAAGTTGAAAATTTTGCTTTAGATCATTTGGGTGTAGATTCCAAACACCACTAGGTTCAAAATCCAAAGGTACCAATCCTCTTTATCTATATATATATTTTGTATTTGAGTCTTTTTTTGCTAATTAGTGTAATAGAGTTTAAATTTTTGCTTTAGATTAGTTAGTGTAGATTTAGAATGTGCTCTGTAATGTTTAATTTTTGATTTGTATATACATATGTGTGAGTGTGTGTGTAAAGGTTGTTGGGAAAATGTTTAAAGAGAAAATAATGATTATTGCAAATCCAAACAAGTTCCTATTATTTGTTAGAAATCCAAACAATGAGTTATCAGGTCGGAAATCCAAAAAGTTCCTATTCTTTGTTGGGTTTCAATTCTTTGCTGAAAATCCAAACAAGTGTATATGTATATATATAAACATACATCTGTTAAACAAATTGTTCCCATGTTTATATATTTGAATGTATATATATCTGTTAGAAGAAAATTGTTCTCAGTGTGATATTTCTCTCTACTATGTATGACACAAGCTGGTATGCTATGAATGAATGACTTTAGTCTAATTTACTTTACTTGTTAGTCATTTCCTCCATTAAATAAATTTCTTGACAATGTTTCAGTGAAGCATCTATGTATCATAGAGCAAAATTTAATAAGATGGATAAGATGATCATCATAATCTTATTTCATTTCCATTTCTAGTCATCTATAGACATGCAACTTTTGTCTTCAATATGTTTGTGTATTTCTATTAAAGGCAACGGAGTTAGCAGAACCAGATGAATTGGTGCTGGGAAACTAGAAATCTCAAGGCATTGCTTTATGGCATGTCTATGTTTGATGATCACGAAGTTGTTGTTTTTTTAAATAAAATGTTGCAATTGCAAAAAAAAAAAAAAAAAAAAAAAAAGAAGAAAATCCTATTCCATTGAGGACAATTGAGGGCATTATGGACATTTTAATATTTAGTTTTGATGACATCAGCTTTTTCTGTGAAACAAATAAACGGAAGTCAACAAAAGGGAGAATCAGCAGAATGTCAGGTAAAGCAATGGAGATTACTATAATTATTGAAACTACTGGGGAGGTCCTTGTATTTGTTAGAAACCTCAGGGGAGGTGAGTGTAATTTATTCAAAAATTATTAATTGATTTGATAATATATTAATAAAAGAGATCACTTGTAATTTATTATATTTTTTTTCTTTAATTTGTCAAGTCTTGTTTGGATGTACAGAAAATTCTTTAACATGCATGAATTACTTCATTTGTAACAATGAGCTAATGATAGTGACGTGTTCTCATGCAGCTATGTTCATAATGGTAAGGTATGGGGTTAGAAAATTCAGAATTGGTCATAGTGCACATATATCTTGAGTTTTTTATTTTTATTTTTATGGCAAAGAGTTTGCACGTGAGAATATTGATTCAAATTTGAGGCAGAAATAAAGACAAATAATTTGAATCGACCTATTAGAGATTAGGTAATTTTATGATTTTTCTTTGAGTTTAACAACATTCCTAATTTCAATCTTGTTAATGTTAAATTTTAGCATGCTATAATATTTTTTTGTTTTTTTGATAATTAGTATGCTACAATAGTAAAATGTCATATTTTGATATACCCACTTCATCAATGTATATGCTATTGGGCATGATCACCATGTAATATAATAATACGTTCATTCGTGTTTAATTATATTTATTCATAATGTATTTTAATACGACGGTTAATATTTTAAAAAAAAAATTTATTTCTTATATTAAATTTATTACATTGTAGGAAAAAAAAAACATGGCACAATACATTTTGGGAGCAATATTGCAAATTTTATAAATCAATGGTCAAATATTCATTGTGTTAAAATTTGACATAATACTTCTTATTGTGTCAAATTCAACATAATCTATTAAATCATATTAAATTTCACACGATGAATAATACATTACTGAAATGTGATTTGTGTGCCTATCGTGACAAATTTTAACAATAACATAATATATAACACACTGTTAAAGTTGTCTTAAGATGATGAATCATGGCGAGCTTTCACCACTTGCGAATTCAATTCGCAGCCTAGCTCGATAGGTTGGTTTGTTGGCCAATTTGTGAGCTCAATAGAAAATAAATAATAATAATATATATATATATAATAAGGTTTTATTTGGGATAAATTTTTATTTTTTTGGTTTGAATGTGATGGTTGTGGAAAAAAAAGTAAAATAATTATGATTTAAATGTGACATTTTATCTTATTTTGACTTTTTAATCTATTTTGTCTTTTTCAAACTAAAACGAAAATCAACGAAAAATATTTTCTATGGTCAACAGAAGATAAAAATATATGAGCAAAAAATATTAAAATAAGGTTTTATTTGGGATAAATTTTTATTTTTTTGGTTTGAATGTAATGGTTGTGGGAAAAAAAGTAAAATAATTATGATTTATTCTTATTTTGATTTTTTAATCTATTTTGTCTTTTTCAAACTAAAACGAAAATCAACGGAAAATATTTTCTATGATCAACAGAAGATAAACATATATGGGCAGAAAATATTTTTCAGTTTTAAAAGGCATAAAATGTTTTTCGAATTAAAATTTTATCAATGCCACGCTCACCTCTACCATCACTGTCACATAACCACCGTTGCCGCCACACCACCATGCCACCACCACTATCACCACATCCACATCCATCTTCACCTTCATTTCACCACCATCACTATCAAACATAGAAAAATAAAAAATATTTTTTACCAAAACAAATGAAACGTTATTGAACAAGGTCTATGCTTGAAGTTTAAGAGAAATGTTTTAGTGCGACTGTTTCAAAATAATTGTGTTATAGGTGAGAATTTTTTTTTATAGATTTAACACACATAAAAACTTGCATTAAATATAAAAAAAACCTACACTACACTTTATAAAAATGAGATTTTTTTTCCATCGTGCGACTAAAACACAATTTATTCTAAAATTATTAACCCTAACGTCTCAACCTAACCAGGTAAAAAGAAGTTTGTTGGAATTAGTCCAAACATTTTTTTAACACAATAAATTAGTCCAAACATGACACATCATTTTGAAATAAAAGATTTGTTGATGAGCCTTTTCTTTTAAAATGATACTATTCAAATCTGTCACATGGTTATGTACTAATTTTTATATCTATAAGGGTATTTGAGAAAATGAATATCCTAAAAATAAGTTAAAATAGTTAATAAAATGAAATGTTAAATTTAATTCATAATCTTTTTATACTTTCTCTTATAATTATTAAATTAACTTCAAAAAAACCAATCAACTTTTAAAACATAATTATCTTAGTGAAGCTAAAATAGATAATTAAAAATAAATAAATAATTAAGTTCCTAAATAAGACCATAGTTAATATTTATCCAAAGTTGAAGTTTCAAATATATGTAAATAAAATGAAATTGTTTCATATTTTACAGCCACACATCTACGTATCTTAATTAATTGACTAAATCTCAAATGTATAAATTGACATTGTCTAAACCAACCAACAATCTCTTGATTATTTTTTTTTTTCCTTCAAGAGCACTCGCACAACAATCCCCTCCTATATAACCAACCGTCTCCGATATCTCCGTTATCTCCATCTTTCTCTCTCTAGACTCCATAGTTCCCTTCGTCTGGGTTTTTTGTCGTCGCATGTTCTTTTGTATTCTTATCAGTTTCTTTTAAAAAACCTCTCTCTCTCTCTGTCTCGTCACTTTCATTTTCCATAACCAAGAAAATGGATTCATACACAGAGGTAGACAACGGAAATCTAGATTCTATCACCGTTGGCGACGGAGGAATGACTAAAATCGACGGCGAACGGCAGCAGGAAAACGGTTTGGATGCTCGGAAAATTCTGCTTCAAAATGGAGGAATTCACCGAGAAAACCAAAGAAAAGGCGAGAAAGTTGTCCCTGTCCCCGAAGAAGGCGATGTTTTGGAAAGATACGCTCCCGAGAATATCTCCAATTCCGTAGATTTCTCCCAAGATTCAAACTGCGATCATCGCGGAGAGCGCGAAATGAAAGCGAGTCCCGAGTTAGATACAAATGGAGTTGTTGATTCGGATACATCTCCCAAATTCTCCGAAATCGTGATGGAGAAAGTCGGAGACGTTGACGACGTCGTCGCCGAAGAAAACATAGCCGTTGGTTCAAAAATCCACGGCGAAATCGGAGAGATGATGATTCGTCCTCATTCGCATCTCCCGAAGCCAGAGGCGCCGCCGGGGGTGATGATCTCGCCCCCGGACGGCGATGATGTCGACGGCGAGGACTGTCCTTCTATGCAACGGTCGCAGTCCTTGCCAGAAACTAGCTCAGTCGACATGCCGGCGATCGGGAAATTCTTCCGGGAGAAGAGCAACAGCTTATCGACAGCGATCGCGAAACGAATTCTATCAATGAAAGAGAACGATGAATCGAATTCGAAGTCGAATTCGAATTTGATTTCGAATGTGACAGAGTTCAATCTCTCGGGACTCAAAGTGATCGTGAAGCTCAAGAACGGGAATGAAAACGGAGATCTCGAATTCAAAGGGCGAATCAGCTTCTTCTCGAGATCGAACTGCAGAGATTGCAGCGCGGTTCGATCGTTCTTCAGAGAACGAGGATTGAAGTTCGTCGAAATCAACATCGATGTGTATCCAACGAGAGAGAAAGAGTTGGTGGAGAGAACTGGAAGTTCATCAGTACCTCAGATTTTCTTCAACGAGAAATTATTCGGTGGATTGGTGGCGTTGAATTCGCTGAGAAACAGTGGTCTGTTCGAGCAGAGGTTGAAGGAGATGGTAGGGAGGAAATGTCCCGACGATGCGCCTGCAGCGCCGGTGTACGGTTTTGATGATCCCGAGGAAGAACGAACGGACGAGATGATTTCGATCGTTAGGGTTTTGAGGCAGAGATTGCCGATTCAGGACCGTCTGATGAAGATGAAGATCGTCAAGAACTGTTTCGCCGGAGCTGAGATGGTGGAGGTTATCATTCAACATTTGGACTGCGGTAGAAAGAAGGTACGCTTCGCTCACTGAACTTTTATTCTGTACGTCGCGGTACTACGATCTTAAATTGCGTCACGTTTTTGTCTTTATTTTACTACCGTTGATCTACTTGGATTGCTTTCTCTGGTGGGACTGCGAAGTACCTAATCGAAAACTCTTATATTTTATTCGACCGTGGATGTCGTTCTGTTATGTAGTTGAATTTTGAAATCTAAAAACTGTTGTTCGCTGACCAAACTGTGATTTGAAAATTTAAAATTTTTGGGATAAAACGATGGAATTTTAGTTCCTAATCCAAAAAGGGCTTTAAAAAGCCAAAGTACCCTTCCTAGTTTCAAAATAAATTACTCTTCTTTTTTTTTAATATTTTTAAATTATTGGTAAATTACACTGATTTCTATGAGATTTTGAGAAAATACACTAATATAGTTATACTCTACTTTTTTTAAAAAAATTTTTAATTCATATAACATTTGACTAATTTTTCATAAAAGATCAATTAGTGGTATGAATGAAATACTACCATATGTTTGATCTTTTGTGTTTTTGTGTCTTTGGATGTTTTGAAAACAATGATAAAAAGTCAGTTTTTTAGTTTTATAATTTTTTTAGTTAAAAAAGTCAATTTTTTAATCCAAAATAACCTAATTTTTTGTCAAAAAATCACCAAAAAAGTTAAAAAATTAATTTTTTACCAACTTCTCAAAACACTACTTTATACCATCTCCCATAATTTTTGACTTTAACTTTACTAAGAAGAGATCAATATAATTATGTCAAAATTATAATATTTATTGTATTTTTCTCAAAATTTTAAGGGAAGTCAGTGTTATTTACATTATTTTAAACATAAATTCTTTTTTTTAAAATACAGGTAATTTCAACAAATTACACTAAACAAGTCCAAATCAATCACATATCATCACTTTTGGTTATGCAAAAGTAGTGTGTACTATTTATTGAAATCAGATTAGTAATCCAGCAAAATTCATGTTAGCTCTCGGTTGAGAATATATTAATTTAGTAATTTTTTTAATAATTTAATTAAAATATGACTTAAAAAAATTTGTATGTTCGGAATGATTTTTTGACTTTTTACAAAAAGATGTGTAAAAATTAAAGAGAAAAAAGAATTTTTAATTTTTTAGTATGGATTGTTGGTTTTTTTATTTTTTTAGTGACTTTTTGATTAAAAAAATCACAACGAGGCCTTATCATAGTTGTGTATGAGTAAGGATGTTGGTGCAAAAAATTATAATTTATGAACGAAAGTAGTTTATAAGTGAAGAAGACGAATAGAAACTCGTTTATGAAATTTGTTTATTTATTTTTTAAATGGGCTATTTTCAAGCTCGTGGTGAACATTTATGAAAAAACAAAGAAAGTGATAACTTCAAAAAGTATTCACCGTTAGTTGTACGATAGTGTAAAGAATATAGATTTGACACACAATGTTGCCATGAGAATCAATTTATTTACCCATCAATTTCACCCTTTATGTCACACTAATTAAAAATTCTATAAGAAATCTTATTATATTACAGTAATTTAGATCCCAACAATGATTCATCCCACTAAAAATATCATCACTAATAGCACTAATACATTAAAAAAGTAAAAAAAAAAAAAAATACAACTTCAAGACCAAAACATCACATCATTAATGGCGGGACCCACTGCCACCTAATTAATGGAAGCACTAATTAGTGTTCCCAAGCATTTTTCTTTAGATCCATAGGATATGTATTATGATATACATTATTCAAATGATTAGTTATTCCCCTAATTCATTCCCTCAAATGAAGCCTACTTACCAAGCAAAATGAATGATGTACTTTGAATGACATTTTTACCCTTATGCTTTTCATTGGGTTACTCATTGTAGCTTACTCTATTGTGGTCACCCTTTCCTAGAGCCAACATTAATGATGGCAACCATGCATGCTGCATGATAACTCGGGTCAAGCACTCGATTTACTGCATATAAGACTTTTATAATGACAATATGAATGATATACTAATAGGTTTGATGCCAGCATTACTTTCATCATCATGGCTGTGATTTCTCGAGTAGATGACAGGGATAGTCGGTGATGTTTATTACAGTTTAAATGAATCATTTATTGTTTACTTATTTTACTCTTCTCTTCGTCTTAAAATATTAATATTTTTTCAAGAATTTAATTTTTTTTAATAGCACAATTATTACATTTTAAAAATATTAACTCTTCAAAACTATCTGTTGACTTTTTTTTTTAATATCAGTTACCATAATTATACATTTTGTGTATGAATTTAAAAGGAGAACAAAATAAAAAATTCATATTATTTTAGTTCTTGCGTTCTATTTGAAGTATGAAAGATTATGTATTATTTTTATTAGATTGTCATATTCATGCATTTGTTATCAAAATTTATTAGGTCTAAAGCTGTGGAACAACAAACTTTCATAGTTTCTAAAATTTGCATACACTTTATTATGCATTTGGATGGTGTGGCCTAGCTTTCATTAATTTAATTGCAAATCTATTTAATTAGAACTCATGAATATATGGTAATAAGCATATGATATTCAAAATTATTGATAAAAGTATCTCCGGCCATTCCAATACCAAGGAAAATCGAAATGATATTTTGTTTTTCTTGCTTTATTTTCGTTTTATTTGGGAAAGATCTGTTTTGATTACTTGAAAGAGTCCATTTCTTCAAGTTCCTAGTCATTTATTTTGAAATTTTCAAACATGGACAACTGAAAATTTGATAGACCAAAAAAATTATAAAATATGGTAGATCAAGTGGACCAATTTATTTTATTTTTTAAACAAGTCCATTTTTTTTAAATTTCTATAATTTAGAAAGTAAGAAAGGAAGCTGAAATGATTCCTTAAAACTGTCAGAAAAGCTGATCACTAATGCGTAAAATTGTTGTTTTGGTGGACCCACATCGTCTTGCAAAGTGCCATAATAAGTGATAGGCCCACAATCTTTTTAAAAAAATGTTTGGTTCCGTGTAAATGATTACCACACGGTTTTGGAGGTTTTGTGAATGATACCTCCAACTTGGGTTATGTTTGACAAATATTTTTTTAATAATTTTTTATAATCATCTAAGATGATTATGTGTAGATTTTCAGAAATTATTAATTTGGTTCAATTTTCAGGTTTCATTGAAATTTTTATATTTTGTGAAATTTTAACAAGATCAACGAAAATGATTGATATGAGTGTGATTTTGATTTTTTTTTAAGTATATTTGTTTTGTTCAATTTGTATATTTCATTATAGTGTTTGAAACTTGCGAAATTCAATGAAATAAATGAAAAAAAAACATACTTTTTTTGGTCATTAAGTTTTTTTAAAACTGTGTTTTTTTTAAAAAAATTTAATAATGGACAGGTTTTTGTATATTTGTTTTATTGAAATTCATTTATTTGGGTCAACTTTTAGATCCCTATCTATAAAAATTAGAATTAAAATTGTTTTGTTAAGTTTCTAATTTTTCTCTATAATTTTAGAATTTAGAATTATATTAAGATGAACAATAAGAAGGCAAATATCCCAATTTGATTTAAAGAAATTCTTTAGCCACAATTGCAGATAATGTTGGTGCAGCAATATGTGCTCAAGGTGTTGAGAAGTGAATTAGTAGACATGACAAATGATACATGGCAAGAGCATCATGTAAAATGCTCTCATCATTTGATTGTGACTGGAAATGTGTTATCTTCACATTGATGACAAGAAACTGATTTTGATATTGTGATCTGAGAAATTCTACAAAACCAAGTCTTTGAAATACCAAATCTTGGATTTTTGTAAGAAGGGACGATATAGCTAAATGGAAAAAAATAGGAATAAGCACTTTAGTTAAGTTAAAGTCTTAACAGTAAACCTATCATCTATTTTTCATGTTCTGAGTAGGAATGTACTAACCTATCTACGACACATTGTTGTTTTGTAATGTTTACTATGCCTGTGTATTTCTAGGAGTGTGCTTCTTAAAATGCTCTTTTGGTTTGTGAATTATATAAATCTGTTTCTACATTAACTTGTGTTAACTCTACTCTTTGCATCATTGCTGTGTTATTGAATTGTGTATTACAACAATCCAGGCTGTTGAGATTGGAAAGCAGCTTGCAAGAAAGCACTTCATCCATCATGTCTTCGGGTAAGAAAATTTCTTATTCGCAGAACACTTTTTATTTATTTTTGTTTAGTCCCATAATAAAATCTGTACTCTCAAGCACAATTTTAATCCTAGACATGTTTTTCAGGCAAAATGAATTTGAGGATGGAAACCACTTCTATCGATTCCTTGAGCACGAGCCCTTCATTCCCAGATGCTTCAATTTTCGGGGATCTCCAAATGACACTGAGCCCAAGCCTGCTGCTGTAGTCGGCCTGAGGCTCACTAAGATAATGTCTGCAATACTTGAGTCATATGCCTCTGAGGATAGGCGCCATCTGGATTATGTTGGCATCAGCAACAGCGAGGAATTTCGGAGGTAATTTTCACACTTTCTTTTGTTTTACACCGTTTCATATTATCTTGTAGCCAATTTTTTGTGAAATTACATTATACTACCACCACCTTTGAGCAAATACGAATCTAGAATTCCTTTTTCATTGCTTAAACTTGGCTGGACAAAACCCTAACTCATGGATTTAATGTCTCTTTAATCTATTTGAAACATCATCCTTGGTAGGGTGGAGCATATTACATGATTTATCTGGAAGCCTCTATTGTCAAGACTTTGTTTAGCTAATTAAACTTTGTAATTTTTTATTATTATTATATATTCACGAGTTAGTTTTCTGTGACCACAAATATTGGAATTAAAATTGTTCGTGTGGTGTATTTCAAGTCTCCCCTAGCCAATGAACTTAATGTCAGGTTCTTAGTTCATAGAAAGTAATTTGAATCATTATTCACTGACGATTCGTTGCTACTTTCATATGAATCGTGTCCATTGAATGCTTGTATGCCTAACTTAAGTTTTATCTTCCTTTATTTGTTTTCCTTTCAAAAATGCAGATACGTATATTTGGTACAAGATCTTCACAGGGTGAACATCATGGAACTCTCGGCAGATGAGAAGCTTGCCTTCTTTTTGAACCTTCACAATGCCATGGTCATCCATGCTGTGATTAGAGTAGGCCATCCCGGAGGAGTAATCGATAGGAGATCTTTCCTTTCTGATTTTCAATATTTAGTTGGAGGCCATCCTTATTCCCTAAGTTCAATTAAAAATGGGATCCTTAGAGGCAATCGGAGAGCACCATACTCCTTGGTCAAATCTTTTGGTGCTGGAGACAAGCGTTTAGAGGTAAATAAATTTTTATGACCTTTTTATGTATGATGTGATACAAAAATTCCTCTTGAGAATCAAATATATGAAATTTAGCTAATCCATTGCTTTATCCTATGTCTAAATTCTTGGGAAATCTGAATTGGGATAAAATTGTAACTAGGTCATTTTCTTTCTAATTGCATTCGATGGACCTTGACATTAACTTGTCTGAATTGGGATAAAATTGTAACTAGTTCATATTCTTCCTAATTGCATTCGATGGACCTTGACATTAACTTGTTTAAAACATTCCCATTTCAAAATTCTGAAGTAAAGAATAGCTTTCATATTTTTTATGCCTGTTCAAATTTTCATAATCAACTTATCCTTTAAATAAACAACAGAAATTCATCTTCACTAATCTCATGCCCCCTTTGCATCCCCTGTGTTTTCTTTCTTCGTTTTCTTGATGTGAAAGAGAAAGAAGTGCAATTTGATAAGAAAATGATTCATATACTACTCCTAAGCTGTAGTAGAACTAAGCATGGCCGTACTGATTTGTTCTCTTTCTCGCTCTCTCTCTCTGTCCACAGCTGGCTTTTGCAAAAGTCAATCCACTGATTCATTTTGGACTCTGCGATGGCACAAGATCGAGCCCCATTGTGAGATTTTTCACTCCTCAAGGAGTTGAATCTGAATTAAGATACGCCACGAGGGAATTTTTCCAAAAACATGGAATGACAGTGGATTTGTCCAAGAGGACCGTCTACCTTACCCGAATCATGAAGTGGTGAGTCATCATCATCCATCAATCCTTATGAACTCTCATTTTCTTTTTCTTTTTCTTTTTCTTTTTTTCTTCTATTTTAATTCAAGCTTTAAACTTTCTCTGCAGGTTCGACATGGATTTCGGGCAGGAAAAGGAAATGCTGAAGTGGATCTTGAATTACTTGGATGCAACTAAAGCTGGTCTTTTGACACATCTTTTGGGAGATGGTGGCCCCATTAATATTGCTTACCAGAACTATGATTGGTCAGTGAACGCTTAAAAGACCAATCGTAATTCTGATATAGAAGCAGGAAGCGCAAAGCTATACAATAGACTCTGCATTGGTTGTCGGGGTTTGTATATAACACCATAGCTTCTTTTTCTTTTTAATTTTTTTTTTTGAAGCATTATGCACCCTGCATTTAAGCAGAGGTTTTGAAAGAAGGGGAAGTTTTTTTTCTTTTTATAGGTTTGAAGTGGTATGAACAATTATTTTGGAAGCTTAGAAAAAGGTTGTTCTAGCAATGAAAGCTTCTTCCTAATCAGATCTGCTATTTAGAAATTGAGCCAAAAAAATGCCAATTTAGTGTAGGTGGTGAAGATGTATTATTATTATTATTATTATTGTGGTGTGTTTGGTAAGTTGTGATTGCTTGGATGTTCTCTGTTTTTAGGTTTGTTATCCAAAAAAATTTGAACCCTGTAACCATAGAAAAGAGTTGTTGCAATTAATTTCATCCAAAGGAAAAACTTTGTTGGGCTTGAACTCAGCCTTGAGATTTTGAACTCCCACTTGGGATAACCAATGTTTGTTTGTAGGTCGAGTAAATTTGTTTCAATTATTACAGGGATAATTATTAACTCTTGGCCTAAAAGAGATTTTCGGCAACGAGTGATGTTTGAGACTTTTAAAATATAAACTTAAATTTAGGGTTGGGTTTCACTTGGTTCAAATTTGGATTGGATGGTGTTGTCTGAGCCTGTGAGGCTTACTATAAGTACCGTTTTAATTATTTAAACTGTTCATTTTATAGGACTTTTCAAATATTATTCAAAAAAAAAAAAATAGATTTATTCGATAATTGTAGGGTATTTAGTTTATTGTGTTTGTTTAAAAAGAGGGTAAATTACACTGACACTCCCTGAGATTTGTATTTATTACAGTTTCTCTTCTCAACTTTTGAAAATTATATCTCCCTCCCTGAGGTTTAAAGTTTCATTACAGATTCCTCCATCAGTAATTTAATTTTTTTAAAATACCAATTTTGCCCTCACTTGGTAAATTACTTTGACACTCCTCACATTTTAGAAATTATAATCCCCTCCCTAAGGTTTAAAGTAACATTACAAATTACCCCCTCGGTTAATATTAGTTGGAAAAAAAATTCATTGAAAAAAAAAATTAATTGGGAAAAAAATTAATTGAAAAAAAATTTTGTTAGTAAAATTTTTAAATTTCTGTTTAAAAACCAACGTAAACTCATTTTTTGAATTTACGTTTTTTCCTCAAATTTACAAACTAAGACAACCATTTATAAACCAAAAAAATTATCAAACAAGTTTTTATGACAGTTTTTAAAATTTTTGTAAATATAAATTGAAAACTAAAAATAAAATAGTTACCAAACAGGCTTTAGATAGTAAAAATGTCGTAAAATTAACAAATAATTAAATAAGTTACCAACGTAAGAAATGACTTATCAAAAGTTTCTTAAGCTATGTATGGTTTGATTTTTAGAAAAAAAAAATTAAAAATTAATTTGGTTAAGAAATAAAAAAATAAAAAATAATTATCATTTTTATATAATTTTTATCTTTCGAGTAGTTAGAAATAATTTTTTACAAATTAAATTGAAACAGCCATATGTATGTCTATAACCTGCCCAAAAGTTAAAATGATAATTATTTTTTATTTTTTATTTCTTAACCAAATTAATTTTAAATTTTTAAATTTTTTTTTCTAAAAATCAATCATACATAGTCTAAGAATCTTTTAATAAGTTATTTCTTATGTTGGTAACTTGTTTAATTATTTGTTAATTTTACGACATTTTTACCATCTAAGGCCTGTTTGGTAACCATTTCATTTTTAGTTTTCAATTTATATTTACAAAATTTTAAAAAATTATCATAAAAACTTGTTTGATAATTTTTTTGGTTTATAAATTGTTGTCTCAGTTTGTAAATTTGAGGAAAAAACGTAAATTCAAAAAATGAGTTTACGTTGATTTTTAAACAGAAATTTAAAAATTTTATTAACAAAATTTTTTTCAATTAATTTTTTTTCTTCAAATAAATTTTTTTTTCAATTAATTTTTTTTTCAACTAATATTAACTGAGGGAACAATTGGTAATACTACTTTAAATCTTAGGGAGGGGATTGTAATTTCTAAAATGTGAGGGGTGTCAATGTAATTTACCCAGTGAGGGCAAAATTGGTATTTAAAAAAATTAAATTGCTGAGGGGGGAATCTTTAATAAAACTTTAAACCTCAGGAAGGGAGATGTAATTTTCAAAAGATGAAGGGAGAAACTGTAGTAAATATAAACCTCAGGGGATGTCAATGTAATTTACCCTTAAAAAAAATGAATAACGTATTTTAAAAACACTCACCAGCTATTATTTTGGAAACAAAAATAATAAATTAAACATGTTATGATTATAGAATCGACTTTATTTTTAATGTGAATAATATACAAAAAGATTCTTATAGATTTGGAGTTAGAGGGAATTTGTTCCCTAAATTGATTCACACCAACATGACATTAACCTTCCTTTTCTTGCTATTTTAGTTTTAAAGACAAATGTTATGAAGGTCTTTTTTTTAAGAAGTGACTTATAAGTCAGTTTATTGGCTCTTTTGTTTACATCATATCATCTCTTTACTTTTTTACACGTTTTTTTGTAATAAGTAAAAAAATCAACTTATTTAAGCCTTGTTTGAGAAGTTGACTATTTTAGTTGGCTATTTGACTTTTTAACTATTTTAGTCTGACTAAAAAAGTTGTGCTTAAGAAGTTGATTGGCTTTTTTTGCAGTTAATTTGATGGTTGTGAGAGAAAAAATAAAATGATTATAAATTGGATGTGTCATTTTGTCTTATTAACTATTTAAGCTTATTTTGTCTTTTAATGAGCTATTTTAGCTCAACCCTCTTCCCAAACGCCCCCCTTACGCTGTGTTTGGTTAGAGGATTTAGGAAGGGATTTGGAAAGGGAAAAGGAAAAAGGTGTATGAAACTAAGTGAAATATAAGTATATTTTATTCACATTTTACTTACATTTTCCATTTCCCTTTCCAAATCCTTTCTTAAATCCCCCAACCAAATACAATATTAGAGTTGTTTTGAGAAGTGCCAAATAAGCTGATTTTTTTGCTTATTACGAAAAGATATGCAAAAAAATTGATAGATAATGTGACTCAAATAAGTTCAATAAGATAGCTTAGTGGTACTTCCCAAAACAACCCTAAATTACATGACTATTTTGGCTGTTAATTTTATTTTTCATATAGATGTTCAACTCGAGCCTTGTAAGGGTTTGTTTGAAAAAAAAAAAAAATAGTTTGACTTTTTGACTTTTTGCTAAATTAGCTCTGTTAAAGAATAATTTTTTGACTTTTTTAAGTTTTTGTGAGAAAAAAAGTAAAATAATTATTACTTGAATGAGACATTTTGTCTTATTAACTTATTTAGCCTATTTTTATCTTTTTATACTTTTTCATTCCCAACCTAAAATTGTCAGTTTAAATTATAAAAATGAAGCCATTAAGCTCAATGACACGCCTGCATTATACATATAATAATAATAGGAAAATTTACCCATAAGTCCTAGTTTCTGAAAAGTTAAACCATTTAGTCCTAAAAATTTTCTTATGCTCCATTTAGTCCCATTTGCACATCAATCTAATGTTCGAAACATTAATCTGATGTTCGAAACATTGTAATGGGACCTTTCAGTCTATAAAAAAACTTTTAGGACTAAACAGTGTATAAGTTATTAATTTGGAATTTATTGGTGCATCCCCCATAATAATAATAATAATAATAAAATTGATAGAATTCGATTTTAAATGATTTTTGCATCACTAAAGATTTTACAAAGTTTGAAATTTTAGTGCAATTTAAAGATTTTGTTTAACTAGAATGATGTACTCTATTATACAAACAAAATAATAAATTGTAGAAAGTTTCATCACTAGAACCATCTCTAACATTTCACCTTTTATGTCATCAGAAATTGATGAAAATGATGCTATAACGTTTTCATCAGTTTGGTATCAAATTGAGGATATCTAAAATTTTTCATCAAATTGGAGATGTCTATAACCTTTCATCAAATTGCTGTAGATAGCTGTTAGTGTAGAAGTACTGGATGACTAGCCGGTTGTTTGGATAGTTGTCCCCCCGAACAACCACTTGTTTGCAATTTACATTGGCCAGTTGACCGGTTGGACATTCGCCTAGTCGTTCGCTCAGTCGACCGGTGATTTAATGAAAGTTCATAATTCTCCGTTAGAGCACGCAATATCAGATGGAGTTTTTACTCAAATTTGATGAAATAAATGAGAAAATGTTAGAGATGCACTTAGCCATCTCCAATCAGACTCATATGTTTCATCAAATTTAAATTTGACAAAAATTTAGCGAAAATAGTATTCCAATCGTTTTATCAAATTGATATCAAATGAAGGGAGAGGTATATTTTTTCATCAAATCAAGGAAGCGTTTATCCTTTCATCAAATTTTGCATATAACCATTGGTGGATGACTGAATTTCGGCCTTATGAACGAAAATTTACTCTAGACCGAACAACCGGCTGGATTTGATGAAAATCTTAATTCACCATTGGAGTGCATCACATTAGATCAAACTTTTTATTAGATTTTTACTCAAACTTGATAAAAAGATTTGATGGACGATTAGAGATGCACATAATGATAAGCTCTATTCTTATTTTAGATTTCAAATTTTGAATAATAAAAAAGGTGTTCAGTCCAATAATCAAATTTTGAATTTTTTTGGGTCTATAGGTCCATGCGCTTTTTCATTCTGCTCATATAGACAACATTCTATAAAATGGCTAAACTACCCCATTAGTGAAGTCACGCTTCTGATTACTAATCCAAAATTTTTCTATCTCTCTCTCTTACTCTCTATTTACTTATCAGTTCACAATAGCTAGGGTTTCATTCTCTTTCTCCCATGTAGAAGCCCTAAGGCTATGTTTGGTTCTCTTTTGGAATTACAATTTTAATCAAAAATTTTCAAAACTCATAACCAAACATACAATTCAAAACTCAATTCAAAAATTATTTTCAAAACTCAGAACCAAACACACAACTCAAAACTCAATTTAATTTTTTTTTTTCACAACTCAAAACCAAACTCTTTTCAAAACTCTATTTTAAAATAAAAAATTCAAAAAAATATTTTTTTATTTCATTTTTAAAAAATTATTTTTAAAATCATGATTTGAGTGTGGAGTCGTATTTTGAGTTATGAATTTTGAATTAAGTTTTGAAAAGAGAAAATTTATTTGGTTATGAGTTTTGAAAAAAGTTTTGAGTTGTATTTTGAGTTTTTGAATTGTATTTTGAATTTTTTTGGATTTATTTTTTTTACAAATTTAAAAATTTTCTTAATTTTATTTTTTTAAGGTAAATATTTTTTATTT